ATACAAATATGGAGGAAAGGGTGAGGTATATCAATGATAATCTGGAGAAAACAAGGAAAGGTAGAATTCACACACATACAGAGACGTAACCACAGAGAGATATAAAAATGTATCAAACTCATTCCCAAGACGAACAAAAAGAGAAGAAACAATGCGTTTAGCAAAAAGGGCTAAAAAAAATTTTCAGTCCAAGCAACGCATTTAGTGAATTCTCAAGCACAAAACCATCAAGAAGTCTGTCATATGGAATACTGTAGAAGCCATAGCCATTAAGGCTGTACATCTTAACATATCATCATATCAAAGCTAGCATCTTAAATTCTGATATACTGCCTAAACTGTCAAATTAAATACCGTTTGAGTTGCATTAGCTGAAGGCAATGAGAAACTTATCCTGTGAGGCATAATAAGTTCAGATATCCCCATCTTACTTCAGGACTGTGGGTACTCCCTGCAAACCTCTTCCAAAACCCATGTAAAAAGCCATTTCTCCATCAAGACCCACGAACCACTCAGAGGATAAGAAAGTACTTTAAAAAATAGTAACATACCAAACAATTTGAGAATGGGAAGGGAGGGCTTAAGAAGGAGAATAATACTGGGGAGAAAGGAGCTACAATCAAAACAAGCTCCCTGATTATGGAGGGCAGGGGAGGACAGGAAAGGGAAGCGAAATCTGGAAAAGAAGCAGATGTCTATCAATTTGTTGTTTAATTGTTTTGCAGTCAATTTTGGAATTTTTTTTGACACAGATACTAGATTTGCCATTTCCTTCTTCAGCTCAGTTTATAGATAAGGAAACTAAGGCAAACAGGGTTAAGTGACTTGCCCGGAGTCACACTGCTAGTAAGTGTCTGCAGCCACATTTGAACTCAGGAAGAGGAGTCCTCCTAACTCCAGGCCCAACACTCTATCCACTCTGCCATCTAACTGCCTCTGTCCATCAATCAGGGAATGGAAAAAATTAGGAAAGAATTTCAGATAATCTCAGGTTATCATGAACTAATACAGAGTGAGTTGGAGAACCAGAACAATTTATTCAAAGATAACAACACTACGTAAAAATACAACACTGAAAGATTTAAGAACCTTGATCAATGTAATGGACAAACTTGTCTCCAAGCTACCTATTATCAAACATGTCATTTACTTTCTTGAAAGAGAAGTGACAGATAACAGTTAAAGACATACATTTGTGTGCTTGGCCACCACATGGATTTGTTTTGCTGACTATTATCATTTGTTAATAAGTTTGTTTTCCTTTATCTCAGTTTTTAATATGTGGAGGCATGGGGGGGAGGGGTGTGACAGTACGGGAAAGGTTAGGAACAAAGGGCCATTTAAACTTTTTAAAAAATATACACAAAGGAACAGAAGGCAATACAGATAAGCAAGGCAGTTTTGAAAGTAACATGGAATTATGTGCCTATTTTGAAAACAAGCAATTTAAAATGAAAATTCATATTTCATATTGCAATCTTATTTGTGTTTTGCTGCATATATGCAAATGCTTTTTTGATCTCTTAAGTTCATAATTTTAAAAAACTTTTAAACGTTTTTTAAAAATATAGATTTCAGGGCAAAAGGGCACAAACTGGAGATGAAATATCATACACAAAAGAATAACAAGTAGGGCAATTTGGTTGAAATATAGAAAGTAGAGGACAGTACAATGAACCTGGAAAGAGAAAGTACCAGATTGTGAAAAGCCAAGCAGAAGAGTTTTTATTTTATAGACACTAAAGGACTAAAGGTCCTTGAAAAAGGAACTGGTATCACAGAAATATACATCATAAATAATAATGGGGGGAGGGGGGCGCGCCAGAGCCAAGATGGCAAAGTAAAAACAGGTATTTGTCTGAGCTCTCTCAAAATCTCCTCCAAACACCCTTAAAATAATACCTCAAAACAAACTGGAGCAGCAGAACCAACAACAGGATGGAGTGAAACAATTTTCCAGCCGAAGACAACTTAGGAGGTCAGCAGGAAAAGTCTGTCTCACTGGGGCAAGAATGGCGTACAGTGCAGTGCAGGCTACCCCTGAAAGCCAGCAGTGAAGCCCCAAGCTCCAGGGCAAGCCAGTAGCAAAGCCCAGAAAAGCCAGCAGCAGGCCTTGGAAGCAACTGAATTAGCAACAATGGCTTCTAGAGCTTTCAGCCCATAGATGGTAAAGGGGTTGGACAACTGGTCAAAAGAAAATTACAGGGAACCCTTTGCTGGCACTGGGGGCAGGACTCGGTTGCATGGCCCATATTCAGTTTTGGTCCTCAGTCATAGGGCGAGGAGGCACAAAAAAAATACTCAAGCCCAAAAAAAGAGGAACAAAAATCCACTGAAGAGAAGAATTCCTTAAAAAGCAGAATTGATTTACTGGAAAGGGAGGTACAAAAGCTCACTGAATAAAATAATTCCTTAAAAATTAGAACTGAGCAAGTGGAAGTTAATGACTCCATGAGAAATCAAGCAACAATAGAAAAAAAATCAAAATTAGAAAAAACAGAAGACAATGTGAAATATCTCCTTGGAGAAACAACTGACCTGGAAAACAGAATTAAAATAATTCCCCAATTAATAAACAGTCAAAGGATATGAACAGGCAGTTTTCAGATAAAATAATTAAAGTTATTTATAGTCATATAAAAATGCTCTAAATCACTACTGATTAGAGAAATGCAAATTAAAACAACTCTGAGGTGTCACCTCACACCTATCAAATGGGCTAATAAGAGAAGAAAGGGAAATCACAAATGTTAAAGAGGCTATGGGAAAACTACGACACTAATGCACTGTTGGTGGAGTTGTGAACCGATCAAGATCTCAAGAACAATGTTCACATCCAGAAATAGAATTGATAATCCCTGAACTCACATGGAAGCATACTATTTTTCACTTCCGTTATTTTTTCGTGGGATTTTTTTTGTCACAGCATGACTAAAATAAAAATTATGTTTGCATGACTACACATATGTAACCTCTATCAAATTGCTGACCATCTCAGGGAAGGGGAAAGTGAGAGGAGGGAGAAAATTTGGAAGTTAAAAAAAAATTTTTTTTAAATGAGTGTTAGTCTTTACATGTTGAGAAAAATGTTATTTTTTTATTTAAGAAATAAAAAAATACAATGTTTATTTATGTCAAAAATATATTGTGTCCTATAAGAAACTGAAATACTAACAGTGTTCAAAAAACCAAAGGTCACCAACTACATGCATAAAGACCCCATGTTATTCAGCAAAAGCTGCTGGGAAAAGTGAAAAATAGACTAGTAGAAATTAGGCTAATTCCAACATCTCAAATCATATTATGCAATAAATTCTAAATGTATAAATAACCTAGATATAAAAAGTCACATCATAAAAAATTTAGAAAGAAAGAAGCTCTTTTACAATGACAGATAAGTAAGGAGGTATTTATCAAACAAAGGCTAAAGAGGATGACAGGAGATAAACACATAATTTTAATTACGTAACACTGAAAAGCTTTTACACAAATAAAATAAAAAAATTAATTAGAGAACTGTTAACTAAGAAAAAAATCTTTTTAACAAATTTCTCTGATAAAGGACTGATTTCTAAGATACAAGGGGGATTGATACAAACAGGTAACAGCCATTTATCAAAACAGCAAGTTTCCAAAAGAAGGGTAAGTGATCAACAATTACATGGAAAAAACACTTCACATTACAGATAAAATGAGAAACACTGATTAAAACAATCCTTAGATTTCAATTCATTCCCATCAGACTGGAAAAGATGAAAGAAAGGGAAAATGAAAATTGCTGGAAAAAACTGCTGGTCTGTGAGAAGACAGGATGTTAAAGCACTGGTGATGGAACTGTGAAGGTGTCCAAGCTCATCATAGTGGTGCACATCTGTAATCCCTGAAATGAGGGAGGCTAAGGAAGGTGAATTGCTTGAGCCTAAGAGTTTTAAGCTGCAGTATGGTTAAAACTGAGTAATGTCTGCATTATGTCCAGCACTACTATGGCGAGCCCCCAGCCAGCCTAAAAGAGAATTGAAAGAACTCAAGCTGAAAACAGAATAAGTCAAAGCTGTAATGCCAATGAGCACTGGGATTGAGCCAATGAGTAAACTTCTAATCGGGATGAGATACGGAGACCAAAAAAACAAAGAAATAGTCAAGCCATTGTGAAAAATAATCTGAAACTATATGAAGAAAGTCACTGAATTATGAACATTTAATCTAGCAATACCTCTACTTCACATACAACACCTGAAAAAGAACAAAAACGGAAAGGATCTACATTTACACAAAAATATTTATAGCAACACTTCTTGTTGTAGCAATGATAAAGGTAAGAACTAGACTTGTGAAATTACTGGTAGAGGGAACTCTCAGGTAAGGAAACTATCTTTACTAATATAAATCCGTAACTGTTATGCGATTTACAGGTTTACACTGATGCTTGGGACACTGAGAGATTAAATTAATTCCCAGAATCTCGTAGTCAGTAAATATCAGAGGTGATAGTTGAATTCAGGTCTTTCTTACTTTGAATCTAGCTGTCTATCCACTACACCAGGGGTTCTTACTTTTTTGTTATTGTTCACGCTCCCCATTCCACCTCTTTCGGCAGTCTAGTAAAGCCTACGCACTCCTAAAAATACACACCTATTATTTTGAAATACAGTTACCAAATTACTAAAAAAAAAAGTTCATAGACCCAGGTTAAGAATCCCAGTACTATGCTATAAAAAACTAAAAAACAAATAACTTACTCTGAACAAGCTGATTCCTTGAGAAGGGGATCTCTTTGTGTACTTGCTCCCAGCCCTACTAAGAATTTTCCAGTATCCCTTGGGCAAGAGAGGACGACACAGAAGTACAAATGTTTTAGTAGTGACTTCTTATTTGGCAGGTGAAGGATTGAGCAAGAGGTAACAAAAAGGAATCTGTCCATCTGCAAGCTGTTAGGTGCTAAAAGTCTACTTGAATCTATCGCTGCCATCTGGTAAAACCCAGATTTCATCCTCACTTACCAGTGTAATATCTCTGGAGGCTGCTGCAGCACTCATATGTAAGCTTGGCTGTCTGACTGAACTACTGCAGTCTAGGGCACGGGCAAAAGTACCAACAGATCTGAAAGAGATGAAAAAAAAAAAACATGAATTTTCTGTGAAAGGTAAGAGTAGGCCAAGAAGACACCGCACAATTTCCAATAACCATGCCCAGACTGAGCCCATGCCTGATACCTTTTCTAATGGCCACTAATGCCACCAACCCTGAATTCATGTTTCTACTACCTATTTGTATGCTTTTAAAAAGTACCTTTTGTTCTCTGGGCTTCATTTTCCTCAGCTATAAATTAAGGGGTAAGGCTTGATCATGTGTCATGGACCCCATGGTAAAGCTTGTAATGTTCTCCCCTTGTAAGAATACTGACAATTATATTATATTAAAGTCCCAACAACTAAACTTCATTCTCTTGTTCTAAGAGAGCTGATATATCCCCCAAAGTGTCTATAACAATTGGGTAGGAAAGGCCTATGGTATAACAAAAAAACACTGGACAAGAAAATAGAATCCCTGACTGCCAGCCCACCCACTGACAAGTTGTGTGATCTGGTCTGACTTGTTTCAATCAACAGGATCTCACATTCCTGATGCAAAAAGCTATAAACTTTTAAAGTCCCTTTCTACTTTACCATAAGCTCTAATCCCTACCATTCTCTTTGTGCTGCCTTCCTTACCAGGTTGTCATAGAGAAAAGGTTTTATAAAATATATATAAACTATTATATGATAATGATGAACCAAGATGAAAATAAAGACAAGTAGGCTCAATTACCCACCCTTTGGGAACTCAAGGGATGAAACACTGAGTGTCTCTCAATCTGTGTAACATATACTATTAAAAGACTTCATGCAGAAATATCTAATGGCAAAATAAAAAATTAAATTTAAAAAATGTCCTCTGGGGCTCAGGACTGCTGTTCCCAGAGTCAAGAAAATATACTGCTTCTACAAATTTCAAGTGCCATGGAGATATATGCAAAATATATATATATATATTGGGTGCATGAATACACAAAAGTGTAAGAATTGTTCTGACAGAATCAGTTGTATGGTATCAATGTGAACTTTCCCTTATAGCAGAAAAGATGAAAAAGTTTAAGGGGCATTATGTTCTAGTTTGCTAGATAGGGGGTTAAGGCTTCTTTCAGTCAAAATTAAGTAACAGTCCTATAGGAAAGAAAAAGATATCAACATAGACAAGACAGCTTCAACACATAATAACACATGATAAGAATACTAGAGACTTACAAAGCAAAATGATATCTATAATAACTATGAGTAAGTTGATTGTCATCAAATCAGGGCAGGTTTACAAGGAATCAAAGGATCATGAATTTAGAGCTGAAAGATATTTACCAACTCCCTAATTTTACAGGTAAGGAAACTTAAGCCTAGAAAGGTGAAAGGACTTGCCCAGATTCACAGATGTGTCAGAATTTGGATGTAAAACCAGGTCTTTAAGACTTCAAAACTACAGCTTTTTTCCAATGCAGAGGTCAGGACAATTGATTCCTTATGCATAGGACTTTAATAAAAGATGGAAAAGAACGCAATAGATAAAGAGTAGGGACAGAGAGAGAGAGCCAAGATGGTGGAGTAGAAGGAAGAAGTACAGCCCAACTCTATACCAAACTTCTCCAAAAAGAACTACAAAATCCACTAGAACAAATCCTTCATGGAAAATCCTAGAGTCATTTCTATTTTTTTTTTTTTGCCCAGGTCAGCAAAAGGGGTCAACCAGAGAGGTTTACAGGGATAGGGTCAGGCACAGAATATTTCAGGGAAGGGTTATGCACCAGAACAAAGAAAAGCCTAAGACTCACACTAAAGCACCTCAATATCATGCAGGGTGCAAGAAAAGGTGACAATTAGGAGCTCTGCTGCTGGTTACTCAGTTTTGAGTCCTAGATCCAAGGTGAACTGGAGACTCAATACCACACGATGGCAGTCAGGGTGTCGTTTATCTTCCATTTTCGAAGAGGACCAATGACATCACAGATGATGTCTTGACTTTGCTGTGAATTAGATTTAAGTGATGCAGAGTTGCACAAAGTAGTCAGCCTCAACTCTCTCTTCCTGAGTCATCAAAGTCCAGACAAAAGTCAAGACAACTAGCAATGGCCCAGGATGCAGTGTATAACCTTAGCATCTTTGATGTCTGACAAAGCTCTAATCATTTAAGACCTGATTCAGCTGCCTTCATGGATATTGGAACAAATTGTTCTCATCTGACCACTCCTCTGGAAAAAATCTTTTACAAGCTTAGGGTAACCATCCCCCTAACTCATGAACGGTTTTGAGGCCTGTCAGTTACCCTCAACCTGGTTTAGACTGTTTGTTGACACTGTTCACCACAGAGTGGTCACTTCGAATGCTACAGCTTCTTGGAGCCACAAGTTAGAGCTGGGTGAATCGGGTGGACACCAAAGGTCAATGAGCACCTTTCCACAGAGAAAGGAAAGGCTGCAGGCCCAAAGGCAGTACACTATGAAAAGATAAAAGTTCAGATGCAAATAGTATGTAGCTCAGACCCAAGGAGGAGAGTGGTATCTCATTTCTATCTCCTAGTCTGAAATACGCAGAAGAATAACCAAGGCAAGGATACCAGGGAGACCCTACAGTTTGATTACTCTGAACCAGGAGATCTTCCCAGCTGGCTGAAAGTAGTTGCAGTCAAGCAGCAGTCAATTAATGCTCAGATCACCCCCAAACCCAGCTCAAGAACTTGTAGAGCTCAGACCAGAGGGGGCAGAAATTAGACTTTGCCCTGGATCAGACCACTTGGGAATACTGGAAGCTTGCAGACCCTCAGCCTGAGCTAGCTCTGCAATCTGGGAATAACATAACTTTCAATAGCCCCAAGAAAGAAACAGGACCAGCCTAGACTTTTCCTTCAGAAGTGTGTAGAGTCCAGTCTGGGTATCAAGTCCAAAGGCAGGAGGCAGGGTGATGACTAAACCAACCAAAAAAGAATCCTACCATAAAAAGAAATTATATTGACAATGATGTTCAAGACACAAAGAAGAAGAGAATGACCCCAAAACAACTACAAAGTTGCAGAAAAAAAATACATCTTAGGTACAGATTCAAGATAAAGGAAAATGGATTAGAAACCAGAAACCAAAAATATGGTTTTCACAATATACCTGAAACTTCTGTTTCAAGTATATATAGAGTTAAGATATACAGAGTTAAAGCAGAATACATTATGCTTTAGCCAAAGTTAAAAAAAAAAAAAAGCATGGCTAGCAATCATGATGCTGAACAAAAAGTAAAACCAAAAAAAGTCCCAATTAAAAGAGAAACTATATTTTCCTAAAATGTTTTATACCAATACTAAACATATATACAACAAATGGAATAGCAATAAATTTTTAAAAGAAAAGTAAAATGAGTTATAGGAAAACAAAAACAATAAAATAACAATAGTGGAGGATGTCAGACTTGGACAAACTGAACCAAAAACTAAACAAAAAGAAGTTAGGGATATGAAGAGAATCTTAGAAAAATACCGTCCCTCTGAATAATACTGAATGACAATAGAAAGGAGACCAAAATTTAGTAAAAATTACATTTTAAAAAGGGCCTTTGAAGAAAAGATTAAAAATGAATTGGAAAGTAAACACTTTAATCAAGGAAAAATTATTGGCACTATCAATAATTACATTAAAAATGATGACACAACAGCGAAATGTGCGGGACACAGTCAAAACAGTATTAAAGAAAGATTTCATATCTCTAAAACACTTTTATTAGTAAAAGATCTTCTAAAAAAATTGGGCATGCAATTAAAAAAAAACTGGAAACCAACAAATAAAACACTTCAATGAAAAACCAAAATAAGAAATTTTTAAAATCAAAGAAGATATTAACAAAACTGAAAGTTAAAAATAAAAATTGAATTAATGAGTTTATGAACTTAATTATGAGCTTAAAAAAAGATTCAACAACAACAAACAAAACAATAACATAGGCATGTCACTGATCAGTCATTTTTCAGTCATATCTGGTTCTTCCCGACCCCATTGGGAGTTTTCTTGACAAAGATATTGGAGTGGTTTACCATTTCCTTTTCCAGCTCACTTTACAGATGAGGAAAACTGAGGCAAATGGGTTAAGTGATTTGCCCTGGGTAAATGACTTGCCCAGATGGTGTGTCTGAGGTCAGATCTGAACTCAGGAGGATAAGTCTTCCTAACTCCAGGCCCAGTGCTCTATCCAATGCACCACACAGCTGCCCAGATAAGCCATTATCAAATTTGATTTTTTAAAAATAAAGAAAACCAAGTAAAATTTTTATTAAATTATTAAAATTTAAATTTAGTAAAAATTATTTAAAAATAAAGAAAATCAAGTATGAAAAAGGTGAATTCACAACCAAGTAAAAAGATTAAAAAAAAAAAAGCAACTCTGAGGTACCACCTCACACCTATCAGATTGGCGAAAATGAAAAATGCTGGAGAAGATATGGAAAAATTAGAACACTGATTCATTGTTGGTAAAATTGTGATTTTTTTCCCCCTCATTTGACAACTTCTTATCTGATATGCATTAATGTTGTCTGTACCGAAACTTTTCAAGTTCAAGTGATCAGTTATCTATTTTATCTTTTGAAACTGTCTCTGTCTCTTGTTTGGTTAAGAAAATATCTACCCATTTCTGTGAGAAGTATATGATGTTTCCATTTTTATTTTCTTACAGTATGATATTACGGTCACATACCCAATCAGAACATACTGTGGAGTACATATGGTATAAGGCGTTGGTGTAAGCCTAATTTCCAACAGAATGCTTTCCAGGTATCCCAGAATTTTTAAAAAAATCAAATAGGAAGTTTTCCCCTAGGTAACTTAATTTTCCACTTTATCAAACACACTAGGATATTGACTTCTAGTGTTTCTGAATCTCCCTTGTATAATTAGTTCCATTACAATATCAGATAGTTTTGATGACTGCTGCTTTACAATATAGTTTGAGGTCTGAAGTACTATTTCCTCTTCCATCTTTATTTTCATTGTTTCCTTTGACAATCTAGAGCTTTGTTTTTCCAAATGAATTTTATTA